CACCTCAGCCTCCCAAAGGCGTGGGATTACAGGCTGAGCCACCAAGCCCGGCTGAATTTTTTTTGCTTAGGCTTATAGCTGTGTTACTATCACCTAGATCTGGATCTGGAGTATTTCCAGTGTCCCAAAGGTTTCCTCATGTCAGAATATCTTTGCCAGCCAGGCTCGGTGGCTCAGCCTGTAATTCTAGCACTTTGGGAGGCCGAGGCGAGTGGATTGCCTGGGCCTGAGGGTTCAAGACCAGCCCGGGCAACCTGGCGAGACCTCATCTCTACAATAAAATAAAAAATAGCCGGGCGTGGTATCGCGCGTCTATAGTTCCAGCTATGCAGAAGGCTGAGGCGGAAAGATTGCTGGAGACCAGAAGGTCGATGCTGGGGTAGCTGTGAGCGTGCATGCCACTGCACTCCAGCCTGGACGAAGGAGTGAGACTCCAACTCAAAAAAAAAAAACTAGCTGGGCACAGTAATGTGCACCTGTAGTTCCGGCTACTTGGAGGGTTGAGGCAGAAGGATCGCCAGAGCCCAGCAAGTCAATGTTGGGGTGGCCATGAGTGTGCCACTGCCCTCCAGCCTGGGCGACAGAGTGAGACTCCAACTCAAAAAAAAGAAAAAAGAAAAAAAGAATATCTTTGCCTTCTGTCCTCCTCCCCTCAATGATTACTATCCTGATATATGACCACAGAATGTTTTGTTTTTGCCTATTCTTGAATTTCATCTAAATAAAACAGTGTCTGGCATCTTTCATTCACCATAATGTGGATTTATTCACGTTGCTGAGTAAACCAGTAGTTCATTCTTTTTTGGTTCTTGTTTTTGCTGTGTATTAGTTAACTATGTGAATATACCACACATTATTTGTCCATTCTCCTATTGATGAATGTTTACATTGTTTCTAGTTTTTAGCTATTATAAATAAAGCTGCTACGAATATTTGTGTACCTGTCTTTTGATGGACATCTGCTCTTAAATCTCCTGGAAAAACATCTGGGAAGGGAATTGCTAGGTCGTATAGATGTATGTTTAGCTGTAGTAGTTACTGCTAAGCAGTTTTACAAAAAGTTTCCACGAATTCACATACCCACTGCAATGTTTGAAAGTTCCATTTTCTCTATTTTTGGTATTTTCAGTCTTTAATTTTAGCCATCCTGAGGGTGGGTAATACAAAATAAAATAATTTTAGTCCAGCATATTTGAAACCAGGTGAAAGCTACTGATGCACAAGAAGATTGAATCTTGATGTTTTGACTCATATACCCCATAAGAAAGGTCCCGTGGAAAGGGGCCTGGCCAGGCGGGTGTGGTCACTACAGATGGGTGGCCTGTAGGATGGCTTCTCTGTGCCTGGGTCCCCACATCCCTCTGATAGGAGAGTTACATTCAGTCTCCTTCAATGGTTTTTGTTTTGTTTTTGTTTTTGTTTTTGAGTTGGAGTCTCACTCTGTTGCCCAGACTGGAGTGCAGTGGCCGCTCCCGGCCACTGCAGCCTTGACCTGCTAGGCTCCGGCGATCCTTCCACTTCAGCCTTCCAAGTAGCTGGAACTACAGGCATGCGCTACCACACCCAGCTAATTCTTTATTTATTGTAGAGATGAGGTCTTGCCAAGTTGCCCAGGCGGGTCTCGAACCCACGGGCTCAGGCAATCCACTCACCTCAGCCTCCCAAAGCGCTGGGATTACAGGCTGAGCCCCCGAGCCTGGCTTTGTTTTGTTTTGTTTGAGTCAGACTCTCACTCTGTCTCCCAGGCTGGAGGGCAGTGGTACGCTCATGGCCACTGCAACCTTGACCTGCTGGGCTCAGGTGATCCTTCCCCCTCAGCCTTATAAGTAGCTGGAACCGTAGCCAAGCGCCACCACGCCTGGCAATTTTTTGATTTATTGTAGAGATGAGGTCTCTCCAAGTTGCTCAGGATGGTCTCGAACCTGTGGGCTCAGGCAATCCTCTCACCTTGGCCTCCCAAAGTGCTGGAATTATAGGCGTGAGCCACTGCACCTGACTCCTCCAATGTTCTTATCAGCTGTTTCTAAATGTTTCTGCAAATAGGCCCAGTTGTTATGGACCCCTCTTTCCAGGGGAAATCCAATAAGAAAAACAATGGAGAGAATGTCATCCAGGAGAACCATAAAACTGCAAGGCGTGGGGGGATGAAAAGGCAGAAGCAAGCGGCAGTGCCAAGCTGAAGCAGAGCTAAGCATTTGATAACACCAGAAAAGGCTAATTGAGCTCTGTGCCCTGCCTTCTAGATGCTGCCTTCCCAGCCTCTTTTGGCCCAAGGTCATCTTTCCCTTCTCAGAGAACAGTCACCACCAGTCACTGGAGTGCCTGCCATAATGAAGTGGTTCCAGAGCTGAAGGCTGGCTTCCTGCCTGTGGCAAGGAGTCATGCACCTCCTTGACATTCACCTTTTTACAAAATCTCCTGTTCCTGGAATAGGTTTTAGAAAATGAGCTGCAGAATAGGGGTTTTGTGCTGCATCCAGGATAACCCAGCCAGTTAGCCCTGACCAGAATCAGGCGTCTCTATTTAACAGCACAAAGCTAGGCTGCAGAAA